TTTTTTGATTTTATAGTAGAGATGAGGTCTCGCCTGCTCAGGCGGGTCTCGAACCTGTGGGCTCAGGCAATCCACTCACCTCAGCCTCCCAAAGGCACGGGATTACAGGCTGAGCCACCGAGCCAGCTTAATTTTTTTTTTAATAGAAGAGAGTGAACCCACTCCTGCAGGTTCTTTTTATTTTTATTTAACTTTTTATTGAGTTGGGGTCTCACATTGTTGCTTATGCTGGAATGCAGTGGCATACTCCTGGCTACCACAGCCTCAACCTGCTGGACTCAGGCCATCTTTCCGCCTCAGCCTTCTAATAGCTGGAACGACAGGCGCACATCACCATGCAAAGCTAATTTTTTTTTAGAGATGAGGTCTTGCCAAGTTGCCCAGGCGGGTCTTGAACCCACGGGCTCAGGCAATCCACTCACCTCAGCCTCTTAAGGTGCGGGATTACAGGCTGAGCCACCGAGCCCTGCTTGCAAAGCTAATTTTTAAAAAATTTATTGTAGAGATGAAGCCTCGCCAAGTTGGCCAGTCTGTTCTTAAACTCCTAGGCTCAGGCTATCTTCTTACTTCAGCCTCCCAAAGTGCTGGGATTATAGGCATGAGCCTTTGTGCCCAGCCACTTCTATAATTTCTATCTAGTTTTTAAAATGATGTCTGTCTCTTTATGATATTCTCTTTTTGTTGAGACATTATTCTTCAAGTTTCCTTCAGTTTTTTTGTCTATAGGTCCTTAACTCTTTTGCGCATATTTAAGATAAATTTAAAATCTTTGTATAGTAAATCCTGTGTCTGTGGTTCCTCAGGGACAGTTTCTTTCAATTTATTTATTGTTTGGTTAATGGGTCACATTTCTTAATTTCTTTCTTTGCATACCTTATAGTTTCTTGTTGAAAGTTGAACATTTTGATTATCATAATATGGAAAATGGGGAAGTCAGTGTCTCCAGGTCTTTACAGACTGTCTCTAGGCTGAGCCATGCCTTCAGTGCTTTGCTTTTACTCCCTGCTTGTGCTGAGCCTAAAGCCCAACCAGGGGTGGAAGCTTAAGGTCTCCTCAGATTTTATCTGATGATGCACTCTGCCCTGGCATGTGTGTGGTTTTTCAGATTGTCTAATACATGTGGAAGCTTTCCAGATCCCTCTTTCATCAGAGTCTCTTATACCTCAGTTTTCCACTTAGACTTTCAGTGTGGTGTTTGCCTCAAGAATATCCTTTGTCGCAGGCTTTAACATCTTGCTCATTTTCCTTGTGATGTTTTTAAGGAACATTTCTTATCTACATAGCCATATCTACTTTTCTACCCTGAGAGAATTCCCAGTTAGGAAAAACAAAGGTGAAGTCCCTTGCATCAGTTTTACAGGGAGTCAAAAGAGGCAAACACAATTCCCTGGAAACCAGGTCTGTTCTGCTCCCTCCGGAACCAGGAACCCACAGTGGGAACCCAGGCAACCCTCTCCAAGGCTGCTGTCATGCTGGGGAGAGCGTTGGGCAAGCCAGAAAGCTTTCCTACCACTTTTCAGCCCCTTTTTGGTTTAAAGTTCTCTTAGTTGCCATAAACTCTTGATTATCTTTTGGAGTTTTGGTGAACTTGATCCTGACAGTGTTTTCAAGTTTTCTGCTGTTTCTGGGAGAGGTGGACCTCCAGAGTTCCCTTTTGTATCATTTTTGCTTATGTCACTCTAAAACAGGGATTTTTTTTTTACCCTAGGTACTCTGTACTTCTAGCAGGTTTGTGGAGGCCCTTAAGAGGTTAACAAACTTCTGAAATTGCATGCAAAATTTTGGTGTATGTGCTTTTTTTCTGAGGTAAGGGTTCATTATGGTCTCAGTGGGGTCCACAACTCTAAAGTTTCAAGAACTACTACTTTAGGGGATCTCCTATTTAAATACAAATAACTCAAACATAACATTGTGTTGAGAAGAAATCTGTAGAACTCCTTAGGAAACTGAGAAGAAAAATTCTTACTTTAAATACTCAATTTCTTAGGAGATACCAGACATCAAACCACATCAAAAATACTAAGACATGCACAGTCTGTTAAAAATAAATAGAACTTCCCTTGTCAATAGGCAGTCTTTAATTATATCCTGTATTTATTGCTTTCTGAATTTGTATTAAGAATTGTTTTCATAATTAAAAGTGACCTAATATTCTTTTTATTGTATGTAGAAATAGGTACGTTTCCCATGCCACCCTTTATTTTAAAAGTGTTTCATGATTTCTTTTAAGAATCCATTCAGATCACATATTCAAATTTAGAAAATAGAATTATAATGTTTATTTTTGTTTCTGAAAACAATGAATTTTAAAGTCTCTTTTCCTGTTTTATCAGTTTGACTAGCTTATAAAATATATTGAAGAGAAATTTTATGATAGTGGAAAGCTAAAGAGGAAAAATGAATGCATAGTGACAATCTTTTTTTTTCTTTTTCTTGGCAGGTTATTAACGAATTCAAACAGACTTACAACCACCAGAAATGCTGTATGGGCCCTCTCAAATTTATGTAGAGGCAAAAACCCTCCTCCAAACTTTAGTAAGGTGTGAGAAAATAACACAGATTAAGGAATGTTTTTCTTTATTGTAATTATTTTCTATATTGACTAGACAATATTTAGATATACACAAAACCCAGAACATTTACAGTGAATATGACATTTCCCTTCTACTCTTCCTCCTGCACCTCAAATTCCTGTGCCCAGAGGCAATTGCTATAAGCAGATATTTTTGTATCTGGGTGGACTTTAGAAATCCTCTAGTCTAGTTCTTTCATTTATAGACAATTGACATCCCCAAAAAGGACTTTCCCACATAACTTTTTCTCTTAGATCTTTTTTTCATATCTACTAATATTTTGTCTCCAGGTAGATACATTTTTTTGTTTGTTTGTTTGAGTCGGAGTCTCCCTCTGTCACCCAGGCTAGAGTGAAGTGGCATGCTCACAGCCATCGTAGCCTTGATCTTCTGGGCTTAAGTGATGTTTCCACCTCAGCCTTCCAAGTAGCTGGTGCCACAGGTGCACACCACCACGCCCGGCTAATTTTTTGATTTATTGTAGAAATGAGGTCTCGTCATGTTGCCCAGGCTGGTCTTGAACCCGTGGGCTCAGACAATCCTCTTGCCTTAGCCTCCCAAGATGCTGGGATTACATGTGTGAGCCACTATGCCTGACCTGGAAGATGGATTATAAATTAGTTAATTTATTATTATTAATTTATTAATAAATTCCTAGTTTAGTTCTATTTCTTACAGTACTGTTAGATTGACGGTAAATTTTTAGACTATCATTCTTCTTCTTTTGAATTTAGTGTCTATGTGAACTAAAGAGACACATGACTAACACTAAGAAAAGTTAAAAATTTCTTAAAGATCTAATGATAAAGTTTCTGGTGATAAAAAAATTATAAGCTTCTAAACATGATACATGAATTAGCCTTTTATTTATACTTTTACCATTCCAGATTTAAGAATTCATGATTTAGCCATTTTTCATCTAAACCACAGGCATGACTTAAAAATCTCATTGTACCATGGTCTGTGTATCTTTTATCATACCCTATGGCATGTTGTATATTTAATCATAGTTCATAAAACTTTCTCAACCTTCTATGCCTATATTGTTCCATATTTATTAATGAATACATAATATAACCAAGAAACTCATTTAAAGTATTGTAAGATGTGTGAAAATAAAATACAGAACAAAATTACAATTTTAACCAGAAATTTGGTTGAATAAGTATGTATCTTAGGGGATGAAGTTTTGAGCAAGGTGTACTTCGCAGCTTGCCAAAGAAGAAAAGTTATGCATGTTTCTCATTTCAGCTCATAAAATATTCAAAACACATGAACTCAAGTGTTGAGATTTAATAACATTTTCACTGCTTATTGAAGTTAGTTCTTAAATAAAACTGGCTCTTCCCCACCCCCTACCCTTTTAGCTGGAGGTAAGTACAAAGAGGTATAGTATATTTGGTACTGCTGCCTTGATTGGGCCAATGTGCCAATAATTTTACCCACCATTGCTTCTGTACCTTTAATGAAAATGTCAACAAAATGAAAAAAACCAGTTATCTATCAGTATTATAATGAAAGTAGTTTTGATATCACACATCTCCCAGAAGGGTTCTAGAAATCCTCTGGTGTCCATGGACTGCACTTTGAGAACCACTGGTTTGGGACACACTTCTTGTAGATAACTATTCGACTGATGCCCTCATCTCCTTTGTTTGCTTGGAAGTTACCTTTTCCATGAGCTCTACCCTGACCACCACATTTAATAATGTAGTCTGTCACTGCCCTCAGTCCAAGTATTTCTAAACCCCTCATTTTACTCTTAAGTTTTTCCAAATTATCTTTTAACATAAAATGTATTCTCTTATTTATTATGTATATTGTTAAAAAAAGTTTTTTCCACTAAAAGTGAACTCTTTAGAAACATGTAACTCTTTGTCATCTTTATTTACTGATGTATTCCACATTTATGAAATAATATAATATTATAGGGTTTAAGACTTGGTAGGTAAATTTTCTGTGATCTTTTTGAGAGACTTTTCTTAATCATTCACTTTTTTTCTGAAATTTTCATTTCCAGAGTCATAGTTTACATTTTTAAGAATTATTTTTCTTGTTCTCTGGGTGCTCATCTTTATGTTGAATTCTATTCTTTTATGGACCCAACAAATTGACTTATGTATCTGAGATTTTACAGTTTTTTTCAAGTGGTCTTTTTTTCCTGATATCTCTGTTTCTTTGTACTTTTTTGTTTTGTTGATGGTTTATTGTTGGTCTTAATCTCTTCCCTATTCATTTATCTGATGATTTTTGCCTCTTTGTATAGATTTAGGAGGAGGCACCAAAAAGCTGATTGGGAAATGAGTGTGGGGCTTGTTTTCTCATGGGCTCATTGTAGGACAAATGGGCAGCAAAACCATATTTTCTTTGAGGAAATCTAAATTGCAGTCTCTTTTCTGAGACCTTTCAGTTTTTCCAGAGACAGATTTTCCATTCTTTTGCTGAAAGGTGAGTAGATAGGGTTGAGGAGTAGAGAAGGTAACACACCTGGCTACTGGATGCCTAGGAACTGGCATTGGAGGAGGGCCAGAGGTTCTCACTAATCAGTCTGAAGACCTAATCTAGTTTCCAATTCATTGCTTCGTTTCAACCCCTATTGTACTTGATATCCTAAAGTTTAGTGTCTGTGATTCACATCTTGTTTTTTCTTCTTCTTAAAGTAAAATAAACCTCTAGTCTCTGGTAGCATTGAGAATGCAAGACTTGCTTTCTTATTCAGATTTTTAATTTTTCTTTTCACTTTAGCACCATCTTTCCTGCCTTCTGTGATACCTGGTGCCTCTGATTTCTGAGGCATTTGGGAGTGAGGGTGAGGGAATAAATTAGCTTCCTGCTTATTGGTAGCTCCCTCTCTTGGCAGTAAGGTTTCACTTTTCCTTCCTCTTATAAGTCAGTTCCTTTATTCACTTTAATCTTTTTGCATTGTGGGCAGAATTAAAATGCCTACTGGTTTTTTCAAAGTTGGAATTTGTATTTCTGTTTATTTTCCTTGTTTCTGAGAAGACAGTACAACAGAAATGTTTTACTTTGCTCTTTTAAAATGAAAAATATATAGTACTTCATTTTTTAAAAACTCAGTTAACAGGTATAAATCAGCACCTTTTTTTTTTTTAAACCCCGAACCTTATATTTGCTTTAAAAAAAGTTGATGTCTCTTTTCAAGAAAGAGGCAGTTGGCAAAGGTGGGAGCACAATTGTTAGAGAAGGATCCAGTTGTGCTGTTGTTGTTTTTACCAACTTATATATGGACATACCTGTTATGTCAGCTAACTGATTTGTGTACCGGGATCCTGGCACCATCCTTAGAGGAGAGGCTCAGCAGAGATGATAGCTACTTTCAGAGGATTATACTTTATATACTGACAATCTTTGACACAGAGGTAAAGGGAAAACTCACCTAAAATAATAGAACATAAAAAAGATATCATCACTTTTTATTTGTGATATATATAATTTTAACAGAGAGATGATGGGATATGTTAGGTTGCTGATTTAAAAATACAACTTTAAGGATTCTAGCATCAGTAGTGATCATGGGAATAAAAAAGCCAACATCTGACTGCTTCCTATATGTCAGACATGGTTTCCATTCTTCCTAACTTAATGGCACCAGATTATCCTTGTTTTACAAATGAAGAAATTAGGGTTTAGAGATGTTAAGTAATTCTCCCTCAGTCACATAACTAGTTAGCAGTGTCTGAACCTAGCTCTGTCTGACAGGAAGACTAGAAGATCATAGAATTTATCTTATTTAGTTTCTCTGTTTACAGATTTGAAAACTGAGTCTTAGGGCAGTGAAGTGGCTTGCTCACTCAGGGCTGATTAGTTGTGTTATTATTGCCTGAGGGATTAGAAGTCTCTGTTGTCTTGTGTTTGGTTTTTAGTTGAAGATTTAGGATTTTGTTAAGTTAGGAAGAAATATAGTTGTCTAGTGACTTCTATTTTAAGACCCTTCACAAATGTATTTATTTTTGTATTTTCAATACCATTGCTCCTTAAATGACTATTAAATGTATTTCCAATAAAGTACATGTGATGAGTACAATGAGACTTATTTAAGTTAGACTGTGCTTCATGATTATTATATTAAAAACTTAACTGAAGCATTTGAGATTTTTCAGTTTGATTTTTCTTTTTTGTTGTGTGGATGATTTGGACAAGAGATTCTAAATATATATTTTATTTATTTTTTAAAAATCTTTACCATGTGTCATTCAATATAAAGGTTAATAGGAACATGATCAGTTTCACGTTCATATATCTAATCATAGTTTTTTGAAAAATATATTTTAATTTTTCTAGTATTTTTATGGCATTAAATTTTTGTTTTAAAATGAAATTATATGCTTTTCTAAGGAAACTTAGGATTTAGCTAGAGAAAAAATTTAGATATTGGCTCTTTCTTCCCTTGCAGGTTTCCCCTTGCCTAAATGTCCTGTCACGATTGTTGTTTAGCAGTGACCCAGATGTATTAGCAGATGTGTGCTGGGCCCTTTCTTACCTCTCCGATGGACCCAATGATAAGATTCAAGCAGTCATTGATTCTGGAGTCTGTCGAAGATTGGTGGAACTTTTGATGTAACTATCACTTATGCTTAATAATTGTATGATTGTGTATTAAGTTTAGCAATTAAAATAATGACCTGATAAACATCTTGAGAGTCAGTGTCTTCAGAAAGAATTAAAATGCTATTGCCCTTACACCTAACAGGATAGCTATAATTCTAAAAGTTGACTCTTAAACTTACATCTTATATCGTGTAGTTTGGGTTATTTTGTAAATTAATTTCCTTAGCTCTGTTTATGAATAAGAGCAAATTCAACAAGTATTTATGAAATGTCTATTATCTGCTAAGATGTTGTATGAGACATTGTTAATGAACTATAGAACACAATTCCCGCTTTCACAGAACCAAAAATCTTAGTTTATTATCCAGCATAATAATTAATTTGAGTAAAAGTTCATGTAGTAAACATCATTTAGAATTTCACTTGTATTAAAGATAATATATTTATCTTTGCTGGGCTATTAGAGCTATTTTCTTTAAGAAGCACAGTTTTTTTGTACTAAGAAGTTAAAACCCTTTAAGAACACTTGTTTTAAAAAGATGTTATAGCTTCTTCATCCTCTCACCTCCTTTTAAAAAATGTGTTATCTTTCTTTTTTGTCAAAAAGCCATGGGGGTAGGCTCAAAGGAAGTAGGTGGCATAAGGAAGAGGAATCTGACAGGATCTGGGACTTTAGCATGAGGACAGCATGGATGAGGTGGACACGTAGGTCCAGTGGAGGGACCAGAGCCCCAGCTTGAGGATGGCACCCACCAGAGTGCGCAGACAAGCAGGCTGGAGCAGGGATGGGAGCCAGCACATCATGGGGTAGCTGCCTAGCTGAGTTAGAAGACTGGCCATGTAGAAGGAGATTCGGAGGCCAGACGTGGTGGCTCACACCTGTAATCACAGCACTTTGGAAGTCCAAAGTGGGAGGATTGCTTGAGGCTGGGAGTTGACACCAACCTGGGTAACATAGCAAGACCCTGTCTCGACTAAAAATCAGAAAATTAGCTGGGTATGGTGGCACAAACCTGTAGTTCCAGCTACTCAGAAGGCTGAAGCAAAAGGATTGCCTGACCCCAGGAGGTCAAGGTTGTGGTGATCCATGATCATGCCCCTGCACTTCAATCTGGGTGACAGAGTGAGACTCTGACCAAAAAAAAAGATTAAAAAAAGAAGAAAGCCCAAATAATCGGATGATTCCAGATAGAACTAGAATCATCAGTATGATGCATGGCTCTTAACACAGATATGTGTAGAGAAAGGAAAATATATATATATGTGTGTGTGTGTGTGTTTGTGTGTGTGTGTACGTAAGTGAAGGAGTGTGTTTTCTTAAGGGGTCTGAGAGCAGTAACACTCCTATAGTAATAAGCTGAGCACACTGCATGTCCAGTCTGTTTCTGAGCACCACTCTCCATCGAAAGGAACCAGGGTTCTTGGAGAAATGACTGATGAACACAGAAAGTAATGAGTGCTCAGAGAATGGAGAAATGTCAAAAGAATACAGAAGCCTGCTTGAGAGGGATCTCACTGTCCAAATCTGGGGTAATTTAAGCTTTGAAATAAATTATATTAGGGTATAATTTATTGAATACAGTAGGAAACACCATGGGACCACACTAAGATACGTAGATAGATAAGGCATGTTGTTGGAATGATAGTGTTAGAAAAGCAACGTTGGTAACAATACTAGTAATTAATATTTCAGACAGCATTAAGAGATGCTAAAACTGGTGGTACAATAAAACTAAGTTAAGAAATGGAATTTTTACACAGTCTCAAAGTATTCTCTTATAAAATATTAATTATCAAGGAAAAAACGGTAATGGTAAAGTGGAAAAGTCTGGCAGACACCATCTTAATTAGTGACAGAGTTCAGCACCACTGAGGTGTAATGAAAAGATTATAGCATTTGTGATATGCCAGCCAGAAGTATATAATCTGGATCTTAATCTGAGGAAACATTGGATAATCCCATATATAACTGTCTTATGATCTTCAGAAATGTCAAAATCATGACAATCAAGGGAAGACCGAGAAACTGTTCTGGATTGAAAGAGACTGAGAGATGTGAAAACTGGATGTAGTGCATCATCCTGGATTAGATGCTCTGTTATGAAAATTTTATTGGGATAATTAGTGAAACTGGAATAGTATTTCTCAGTGAAGAATATATGGAAGTTTGTACTATTTTTTTGCAACTTCTATGTAAATTTTAAATTCCTGGCATTTTGGTTCATATCTTTATTTTTAGGCACAATGATTATAAAGTTGTATCACCTGCATTAAGGGCGGTTGGTAATATTGTGACTGGTGATGATATTCAAACACAGGTGAGCTCAGACTTTATCATAATACATTGTTAATGTAATGAACTTTAAGAAATGTATTTATGTTTCATATCACTTGATTACGTATTAACCAGAACTTTAGCATCATCATAATTGTGTATGTGTATATGTCTGTGTCTTGGAGGATAGTGGGATGTCAAAGAAGGTGTGATGTCATGTGTGCCTTTAGATGTGAGGCACCATCTTTCTTGAATTCTCCATTGCTGTAAGGATTAGAATCTCCTTTGTTTACCACTTTAAAGCATATTTTTATTTTAGCCTACATTTATTTTCAGTTTTAATCCTTTAAAGTTCCATTTAGATATTCACCAAAGTTAGTAAACAGTTGACCTTTGATAATTACTCATTTAAAATAACTCTTTAAATGGAAATGCCTTTCTAAACATACACTGCATTTTCAGCTGAATTTCCAGTGACTTACTTTATACATTCCTCACCAAATAAACTTAATATAAATTTCTGGGATATTTTGAATATAGAAACATAATCTTGGCAATGGAATAAGGAATGTCAAGGGACAAAGCACAATATATTTCTTTACAAAAGAAGAATGGAACAGTAAAAAATTTTATGAAACAGACTAATTCTATACCCTAGGATTTCTTAATGGTCATAGAGTAGACACTCTCAAACAATCTGATATGTATATTTTTTCCCTAATACATTTGGCAAAACTAGAGGTTAACTCCTGACCTCGGTCACAGTGTCTTTCTCCAAATAGTTATATTAGTTTATTGGGATCCTATCAAGCTTCTTGAACTCTAAGTGCATTTGTAATTTAAAGGAACCTGTGATTTGCATTTTAGTGCTTGAGAATAGGATACTTCCCACCCTGGCATGAGACAAGTTTTGGAAACAGCAGGAGCATAGACAACAGCATGAGACAAGTATTGGAAACAGCAGGGGCATAGACAACAGCAAGTGCTCAAGTTTACTTTAAGGGGAATTTTTCTTAATTTTATTTTTCAGAATGGCTTTTGTACTTCTAAATAATTCATTAGAATTTTATGTAGCTAATTTACTATAAAATTTTGTTTTATTTTTAACGTGTTTTAGGTAATTTTGAATTGTTCTGCATTACCCTGTCTCTTACATTTATTGAGTAGCCCAAAGGAGTCAATTAGAAAAGAAGCCTGTTGGACTGTTTCTAACATCACTGCTGGAAATAGAGCTCAGATTCAGGTAAATACCTTTCAGATCTGAGAACAGAACAGGAAGGTCTGATAAGCCAGTTTAGACAAAAGCCAGCATTTTATCAGTGATTTTTTTTTAAGTGAGTTATTTAAAAAGATGCTTTAAAAAAAAATCCTGGGAAGTCTTTTAAAGAACCTGGCTTTTCTTTTTTTCTAAAATAATGTTTGCATGTACTATTCTAGTGAGGAGTAGCAATTATATATATATAAATGCCTAGTACAGTGGCTGACACATGATGGTCTTTAAAATGGAATTGTTAGCTGGGCTTGGTGGCTCAGCCTGTCATCCCGCGCCTTTGGGAGGCTGAGGTGAGTGGATTGCCTGAGCCTGCGGGTTCAAGACCCACCTGGGCAGCAAGACCTCATCTCTACAATAAATCCAAAAATCAGCCGAGCATGGTAGCACATGCCTGTATTTCCGGCTACTCGGAAGGCTGAGGCGGAAGGATCGCTGGAGCCCAGCAGGTCGAGGCTGCGGTGGCCGGAAGCGGCCACTGCACTCCAGTCCGGGCGACAGAGTGAGACTCCAACTCAAAAAAAAAGGAATTGTTTTGCCTTAGTTTTACATGAGTTAGGCAGGGGCCTTCTTCTCAAGGCTTTTGATGATTTATTAGGATTCTATCAAGCTCATTGAGTCAGTGATCACTTACTCATTTTGATCAGTCATGTGCTTTGTGCCTTATCTCTAAAATTTATATTCTTGGCTCGGCTTGGTGGCTCAGCCTGTAATCCCAGCACTTTGGGAGGCTGAGATGAGTGGATTGCCTGAGGCCATGGGTTCAAGACCAGCCTGGGCAACTTGGCAAGACCTCTCATCTCTATAATAAATGAATAAATTAGCCGGGCATGGTAGCACGTGCCTTTATTTCCAGCTACTTGGAAGGCTGAGGTAGAAGGATCGCTGGAGTCCGGCAGGTCAATGCTGGGGTGGCCGTGAGTGTGCCACTGCACTCCAGTCTGGGCGATGGAGTGTGATTCCAACTAAAAAATAAATAAATAAATAAAAATAAAATTTGTATTCTTTTATTTTTTGGTCTTTAAAAAGCTAATTTCCTTTTAAAAAGAGAAAGTACGTAAAGTTTGTTGACAGATTAGAAATCAAATATTTGCAAATGTATTTCCAAAACTCCTGACATTGTGAAACCACTGAGTTTCAAGACTCTTCTACTTGGTAGTAGTTTAGAAACAGTATTTGTTTTTTTTGTTTTGTTTTTTTGTTTGAGTTGGAGTCTTACTCTGTTGCCCAGACTGGAGTGCACTGGCTGCTCCCGGCCACTGCAGCCTCGACCTGCTGGGCTCCGGCGATCCTTCCGCCTCAGCCTTCCAAGTAGCTGGAACTACAGGCGTGTGCTACCACGCCCGGCTCATTTTTGATTTATTGTAGAGATGAGGTCTCGCCAAGTTGCCCAGGCAGGTCTCGAACCCATGGGCTCAGGCAATCCACTCATCTCAGCCTCCCAAAACATGGGATTACAGGCTGAGCCACCGAGCCCAGCTAGAAACAGTATTTGTACTGATTATGCATTTTTCTTCCTCTCAGGCTGTTATAGATGCAAACATTTTTCCTGTTTTGATTGAGATTCTTCAGAAAGCAGAATTTCGCACCAGAAAAGAAGCAGCTTGGGCTATAACTAATGCAACATCAGGAGGCACTCCAGAGCAAATAAGGTGTGATCCAGATTTTTAAAATTGTTACTTCTAAAATATCAATGAGAAAAAATTGGAAAAAACATACTTTTTATTTATGGATGAAACTAAAATATTGTTTCTGAGTCAGTTTGATAAACATTTTTAATATAAAAAGACAGCATTATATTTACAATGCCTAATTTGTTTTCATTTAAATTATAATTAGCATCATTCTGGTAGGCTATTTATGAAAAATCAAAAATTAAAAACCTGCCAAGGAACAGTCTTTGTTAATTTGCAGAGTACATATCATGAACTTTAAATAATTTTTAGACTACTAAAGTCACAAAAATGTAACTTGATTATATAGAAATGGCAAATAAATTTAAGCATCCACTTATTTTAATAAAATTTAAATAGATGTTTGTCTACATGGTAACTAACAGTCTCCTGATAGGTTGTTACCTCGCCTGTGGATAGTATCTTAACTCTTATTATCCTTTTTTAATATTAGATTTTTGAATCGAGGCCTTTTTTAGTTTAGTCATTCCACTGACAGCATAAATAGTAGGTACATGGACTTTTAAGTCAAACAGGTTTCCAATCCTGCTTCTTCAGTAAAAGTTGTGTGGTCTTAACCCTCTAATCTAGTTTCTTTGTTTTTTTAAATGAGTTCATAATGGATAGTGATGGTAGTATTGTCTTTGGGTTCACATCTGTGTATTCAACCAACTGCAGATCAAACAAACAAAAAATAACAATGCAACAATAAAGAATAATACAAATAAAAATACAGTGTAACAACTATTAACATAGCAGCTACATTGTATTAGGTATTATAAGTAATCTAAAGATGACTGAAAATATACCAGAAGTTACATGAAGTTGTATGTAGATACTATGCAACTTTATAGAAATAAATTAGGCATCTGTGGAGTTTGGTATGGAGGGAGGGATGTCCTGGTACCAATCCCTCATGATACTGAGGGGCTGTATCTTGTTCTTTTTTTTTTTTTTTTTTTTGAGTTGGAGTCTCACTCGGTAGCCCAGGCTGGAGTGCAGTGGCACACTTACTGCCACCCCAGCATTGACCTGCTGGGCTCAGGTGATCCTTCTGCCTCAGCCTTCCAAGTAGCCAGAACTACAGGTGCATGCTACCATGCCTGACTAATTTATTTTTTTGATTTATTGTGGAGATAAGGTCTTGTCAAGTTGCTCAGGCTGTTCTTGAACCTGTGGGCTCAGGCAGTGCCCTCACCTTGGCCTCCCAAAGTGCTGGGATTACAGGCTTGAGCCACTGCTCCCGGCCCTTTGTTTTTTTTAAGTCAAGATCTTGCCCTGTCATTCAGCCTGGAGTGCAGTGACATGGTCACAGCTCACTGCAGCCTCAATCTTCTGGGTTTGAACTATCCATCTGCTTCAGCCACCCAAGTAACTAGGATTACAGGTGCATACCACTGCACCTGACTAATTTTTTATTTTTTGTAGGGATGGGTGACTCGCTGTGTTTCCCAGGTTGGTCTAGAACTCCAAGGCTCAAGCGATCCTCCCAGTTCTGCCTCCCAAAGTGCTGGGATTGCATACTTGAGCCACTGTGCCTGACCTGAACCCTTTTCATAGTGCTCATGTATCATATAAAAGCAGGCCCACATACCTATGTATATTGTGTGTGTATTTTGTAGTATTTGCAAAACTATCTATTACTAGTTATGTTAAATTAGAGAATAGGTAAGTAAAGAAGTTTTTTCAGGTTTCTAGGTAAATGAAAATTTAAATGAAATGTTTGAATTTGTGCAGGAGTACTTTTTAATAGTACTTTGGATTGCCTATATAATATTTCACTATGAAGAATATTTGTGTCATTGTCATAAGCAGTATTTATTTAAGTGTTTTGAAATCTTTTTTTTTCCTTTGCCATTTCTTTTTTTATCCTCTGAAGGTATTTGGTAGCCTTAGGCTGCATTAAACCACTTTGTGACCTTTTGACTGTTATGGACTCCAAAATAGTCCAAGTGGCTTTAAATGGACTTGAAAATATTTTACGTCTTGGGGAACAAGAATCTAAGCAGAATGGAATAGGCATTAATCCATACTGTGCTCTCATTGAAGAAGCATATGGTAAGTAGTCAGTTCTTAACTATCTATCTGTCATAGACATTTCCCCCCTCTAGTTCCATAAACATTTTTTGTTGTTAAAACAGTATACTATAGTTTTAAAATAAGTTTCCCATACTTTTATTACCCACATAGTTTATTTTTGTTGTTTACCTTTCTTCTTACATTGTCCTTATGCACACATGCTTTGTGTTTATTCAGTTGTACTGTATGTGTAGTTTTGTGTTCTACCTTTTAATATTTTAGAGAAATTTTACATGTCTATATAATTTTTATTGATTATAATAGTCACATGTTATATTAAGTACAGTTTTAGCCATTTGAGTTCAGGTTTAACCATACACCCATTGTTGAACATTAGTTTGTTTCCATTTTGTTTATCATTTTATATATGCCAACATAAGCATCTTTCTGCATGTAAGTTTGTTTCTTATATGAAATTAATATCTTGGGATAAATTTTCAGGAATGCAGGTGAAAAGTCTTAGGCACAAACAGGCACAAACTTCTCTTTAAGTTGTTTTTTTTTTTTTTTTTTTGAGTTGGAGTCTCACTCTGTCACCCAGACTGGAGTGCAGTGGCCACTCCCGGCCACTGCAGCCTTGACATGCTGGGCTCCGGCTATCCTTCCGCCTCAGCCTTCCAAGTAGCTGGAACTACAGGCGTGCACTACCATGCCCAGCTAATTTTTTTTTTTTTTTGATTTATTGTAGAGATGAGGTCTCGCCAAGTTGCCCAGGCAGGTCTCGAACCCGCAGGCTCAAGCAATCCACTCACCTCAGCCTCCCAAAGCATGGGATTACAGGATAAGCCACCAAGCCTGGCTTCTTTAAGCTTTTGATATGTTTTCTGGCATTGCATTCTGAAGACCTGTGACATGACTGTGTCATTGGCATTGTATAAATCAACTCCACAACCTCATAGTCATGTTGTTGATTTTGCTGATTTAGCAGATGTAAAATGGTGTCATCATATTGCTTGTCTGTGCATTTCTTGGTATTTCATATAGAGGGTAGTATTTATTTTTCATATATTAGCATATTTTCTCACCCAAGTTGCATATTTATTGTACTTTGTTCAGTTACCTACCGGACTCTTATTTTGTAATAATTTTAGTCTATTTTATAGTATTTTATAATTGTTTATTTTGAAATGGCTTTCCTCCCAGCCTTTTTTATTTTAATAAAACAAATCATGTTCATTTGTATGTTCCAATATAAATAGCTCAGTCTAGTCTTCTGTTCATCAAAATTTGCAATGTAATTCCCCCACAGAGGTTTGATGAAAATTAATTTTTTTACTGGTCAGGCTTTTTAAATTGAATTCTTAAAACATTTAACCTAGTTCATATGAAATTTATTTTAGATAAGGCATGAATCTAAATTGATTTTTGTAAAAAATGTATTTGTATTAAATATCCACTTTTCTCTACTAAGTTCCCTTATATTGTACGTCTGACTCAAATGTTTGCTTATGATTCTCAAAGCCTGAGAGGTTACTTAGTCTTTATTTCAGATTATATAATGTCACTGATTAAGACATTACATAATACAAAATAGTAATAATGGACTTAAGAATTTTTTTATATATATATTTTTTTTAACTTTTGAGCCACGGTCTCTACTTGTTGCCTAGGCTGGAGGACAGTGGTGTGATTGTAGCTCACTACGGCCTCAAACTCTTGGGCTCATATGATCTTCCCACTGGGACTACAGGTGCTCACCACCACTAACTTTTAAAAAATTCTTGTGTAGGCAGGGTCTTGCTATGTTGTCCAGGCTAGTCTTAAACTCCTACTCTCAAGTGATCCTCCCATCTTTAACTTCCAAAGCACATAAGCCAACATGCCTGGCTTATTACTGTAGCCATTATTCTGAACCCAAGTTAGACTAGGATTTGGCTTTCCTGTGATTGTGTATAGATATGACTACTTTGCTGCTGCTTTATTCCACATAATCCAGTTGAAGTGGTTTATCTGTAATTAAATGAAAAATATCTCTAGCATTGCCAAGAATTAGGTGCAGAGTTTTTTGTTGTAAGCAGTAAAACAGAGTGTTAATAGATTTTCCTCATACTTTCAAAATGAGATTTTTTCAGTTTCACTTACAAATTGTACTTTTGTTAAGTCATATAGCAGCCATATGGGGTGTTTTGGTGTGAAAAAGAGCATGGATTTGTAGATTTCACTTGTTTCTTCATACTGACATCCACTGGCTCAACATGTTTTGGCTTGTTTGTTCTATTTGGTTGCTTTCTGTTTTTCTGCTTTGTTATTTAGCATAATTACTCTGGAGAGGACCCGTGGAGTTACTTAATCTAAAACTTCATTTTACAATGGAGAAACTAAAGACAGAGGAATGCAACTTACTTGGTCAAAGTCACACAACTCACAAGGTGGTCTTACTCCCTGGCTTGTGGCCCTTCTTCATGTCACACTGCCCACCTCTCAGTCTCAAAGTATATGTCACGTGTGTTGACAAAATATGTGTGTGTGCAAAATATGTGCAAAAATATGTGCTAAGAATAGCAGTCCTGAATAGCAGTGAAGTGATAGATGTTACTGTTTTTTTGATTTAAACATATACTGAAACTTTAGTAACAAGTTGTTTCTCCATGTGTGTTTTGTATAATAGGTTTGGATAAAATTGAGTTTCTGCAAAGCCATGAAAATCAGGAAATTTATCAGAAGGCTTTTGATCTGATTGAACATTACTTTGGTGTAGAAGAAGATGACCCCAGCATTGTACCTCAGGTGGATGAAAGCCAACAACAGTTTGTATTTCAGCAGCAAGAAGCACCAATGGATGGATTTCAACTTTAACTTGGTGGAGGGAAAAAAAATCAATGGCTGAGAAGGGTAGCTTCACACATCTCCTCTTTGTTACAGTGTCAGTAGGAACGTTTAATGTTTTTTACATAGATCAGAAAATAAAGAAGTTGTTGCACTTTTCAAATGCATGCCTGTAATTCCGGCTACTTGGAAGGCTGAGGCAGAACGATCGCCGGAGCCCAGCAGGCGAGGCTGCGGTGGCTGGGAGCGGCCACTGCACTCCAGTCTGGGCGACCGAGTGAGACTCCAACTCAAAAAAAAAAGCAAAATGAAACAAAAGTTTCCATTCAAATGCAACCTTTCATTGTAGTTTGTTGTTTGGGTTTTTTGTTCTTGTATTTGTATTTTTTGTTGTTGGACTTTTGTATCTATTTGTGAACAATTAAAAACATTATGCAATTATTTAATAACTTAAGCTTGAAAAAGATAACTTTGGTAATGTATTCCATGATGATTCTTTATTTTTTCAAGCATTATTGAGAACTGCATGTTAGCAGTACAGCTTTGGATAATTGCATTTTGGCAGTAAGTCTTAACACACCCAGTCTCCACTAAATCTACCTCTATCTTGAAGCAGAAATAAAAACAAAAAAGCTTCAGAAGCATGAAATAGTGTAATAACTAAATTAGAATGTGAAAATATTTATTACCTTAAATTATAAATCACTGTGCTGTAGGTTATACTTTGCAAAAAAAAAAAAAAAAAAGCAACAGAAAACCTATAACATTTATTTATAAAACATAGAAGAAATATTATAGTGATAATCCGTTAAAATGTGGCAATTGTGAAGAGAGCTGTTCTTCATGTTGAACACATTACAAAGATTACCTTCCAAAACATTTGTTTTTGAGATATGTCATTATATTAGTACATTTTGTATTTCTACAAAATATGCTACCATCTTTGAAATAGTGTTTTATTATTTTTTTTCACTCTTCATTTTAAAGAGCATCATGACAGGGATGCCCTCATGAGTCTAACGTAGTGCTGCATATCTAAAATAATACTGTAATTAGTTCTCTGATTTTACAGAGCAGTAATTGAAAAGTTTCATTCTCTGTATAATAATAAATGGAGGTACTTGAATGACAAAATTATCTTGAAGAAGTAACCTTGTTATGTATTAAATTTTATTAAATGCATTTACTGTTTGGACACCAAATGATGGTGATAATGAAAATTGCTAAGGATTCTTTAATGTGGTTTGAATCTGTATTAGAATTTTTAAAGAAATATTCAGAAGGTCATACTGCTGCTTGTTATGAATTGTGTTAGATTACATTTGTATCACATTGGTCAATATAATGTGTGTGTTTTATGACTTAACAGCAAAACCTCTTCAAACTATAAAAGTTTAAAGAAAGATTTCCATAGAAAAGTTATATATATATTTATTTATAGATTCGTGTGTGTGTGTGTGTGTGTGTGTGTGTGTGTGTGTGTGTGTGTAAAACTCTCACAGTACTATGCTTATTAGAATTTTCTAAGCAAATAAGGTACTGCTGAACTCAATCTTTTAATTTATAGTTATATGCTGGCTATTTACATTTCCAGTTATATACCTAGAATATTTATTTCAAACGTAGTTTACAACTCTTTTAAGATGAGAACAAGAGCAGTTTTGATATTCATAGTCTATTCTGTAAAGAAAGATTTCATTTAACATAGCATTTGTAATGTTTCTGCTGGAAATCAGAGGCATGTTCCAAGAGGAAAATGTATATAGGAGTACTTGTAGATAGTATGACACTTTGTACATTATATATCATGAAACTAAGCTTTTGGCAAGACACTTAAAACCTACATCTGTGAAATACAGGTTTATGGGGTCCGTAATGCTGACTGCTTCTGCCAACCCTTTTCTATATTGTTGAGTAGAGGATTGTATCTGTGCTCTTTTTATTGTAGTAGAAGTTAGATAGTTGAATATAAAAGGTTTTTCTTTTGCATTATGTATATTAAAAGAAACAGGGTAGTTATATTAAAGATTACCAAATTGATGTGAGTTTATCAGATAAACACTTTTTTGTGGTGCAGGTGGTTCTAAGTATCAGGTGACAGGGTATTCTCTAATCATTGAAATTGATAATGCAGCATTATTCATAAACTAACCAACTGTGCCTGCTTTTATTTGGAGGACCCTATAGTCACTATAAGAAATCTCTAAGCCAAAATTTTCGAACAAAATAGTTCCCATAGAAGGAAACAAATATATGTGTGTGTGTACATGCACACACATGCACACACATAGAATGACCTATGAAGGAAATTAAAAAAAAATTTTTTGCCAGTTGAAGTGAATGTTTTATCTCTAAGTACAGGATATGAACATACTTCATACACATTGAAATGCAAAATTGTGTTTAATTTCCTGATATTATTTGGGTAATTTAAATATAATGGAATGCATAGGGCACTATCTAGTAGTTGGGATTAGCTCTTGGCCTGTTAATGAGTTGACTGGATCAAGACTAACAAATAGTATATTAAAATTGTTTAAAAATATGACTATTTTCAAGTGTACCATTTAAGATGCTCCATCAGGCAGAGCCCTGCCCAGAAAAAAAAACAAAGAAGAGGAAAATAAATCAGGAAATGCTCCAGAAATGTGTTTTCATTATTGGCTTTTGTGGAAAAAAAAATCCTTTTTTTAACTTACTTTTCCAAGACTTGTTATACTTAAATATGAGAGAAACTGTGCCAAAAAAATAAGTTTAAATGTGTTATAAAGGGAAATGCATGCAGCATTAATGCAGCTATCAAGAAGACACTTGAAAGAGACCTTTTCATTTATTTTAATTTGGTATTTTTTCTGAATTTAAATTTCTACCAGTTAATCTATGCAATTATGCTTACTTGTTTTTCATTTGTAAGCACTTGACTCACTGACTTGGTCTTTTTACTATAGGTTTTATTTTGAAAGGTTCTTTTTTAATTTTTAAGAGTATCCTTAAATTTTAGTGTCACTTGTTCTCTTACTGGTAACCCCGGAACAAGAAAGCAAAAAAAGAAAGAAGTAAGTAATAACATCTGCTGGCACGGAACAGATCATTTGGTAACTATAAAGCCTATTTTCAGTTAAAGTTTGATTTATTGGATAAAGGACTAAAAGAAGCATTTATTACCTTTGCCTTTATATTTTTTCTTTTTAAAAGGAGCATTATGGAAAAAAGTAATAAAAAGTCTTAGTGAATTTTTGTTGCTGTTCAGCAATCTTCTGGCTGCTTAATTGTGAAACTGTGAAATCCAATTGTTCTGGACCTTTATTTCAGTTTATAGCATTACTATTTTATGAAATGTGACATTTTAGGAGCCAATATAATAGGGCTGTAAAAGGGTAGTGTGTCTTTGTATTTTGATTAAGGTGAAGGGAAGATATTCTTACCTAACTAAATAAACCAACATTTGAGCAGTATGCAATATTATGAAATGTTACAGCACTATATTAAAAATAATAAAATACTATTTTACAATTGCATTTATATAAATGTGTCTATTTCATTTTTTTCTCATTCATGATTGTGTATTCCTAACAGGGAGCCAAAACAGATGCTGTTATTGGTTAAAACTTTTACTTTCTGAAACCAGCAAAGGAGGGAAAATGGAATTATAAAAAGTAGTTAATCCAAAACTAGGCAGAAAAGGAAAAAGACCAAAGAGAAGAAGAAAAAAAGGAATGGAACAAATAGCAAATTAGATAACTCAATTACATCAATAATCACAGTAATTGTTAATTTAAATATGCCAATTAAAGTGCAGATTATTAATTATTTAAAAAAGCAAGAACCATATCTTTCCTATAAGAAACCATTTTATAAAGCAGCGAATTGATTAAAAGTAAAAGCAGGGAAAAGTATACCATGCTAACACAAATCAAAAGTAAGTTGGAGTGGCCATATTAATATAAAAGTATATTTCATAGCAAAGTATTTACTATCAAAGATAAAGAGTAATTTGATAAAGGGATCAATTCATTATAATCAAAATGTGGATACAACCCAAATATTTGTCAGCCAATAGGTAAATCTGTTATAGCCATACAATGGAATGTTTGTTACTCAGTAATAACATGTGCTGATAGATGGTACAACATGAATGAACACTGAAAACATGTTTAGTGAAAGAAGTTGGTCACAAAATTGCAAATATTGTGTAATTCTACTTACATGAAATGTTCAGAATAGGCAAATCTGTAGAAACAGATTGATTAGGAATCTAGGACTGGAGAAGAGTTGAGAGAAAGTAACTAGGCACAAAGTTTCTTCTTGGGACAGACAAACTTGATTTTCTAGTAAAGTCATCGAGGTGTGCCACCATCACCACAATCAAAAGTTCAACTTGGGAAACTGCGTCGGGTCCCCTCCCACTGTGGGATGTTTTCTGTCCTCTCATTAAATCCTGCTTTAAAAAAAGTAAGTTCATCTCAGTGGCAATAACCATGTTTCAAGTGTACAGTAGGAAAGTGCTGTGTTATATGTGATATGTTTTTAAAATGGGCAGTAACACTAGTTTAAAATGCATATTTTACACCCAGAAGCAACTGTTTCTTGTTCTTGCAGTTAGTTGAGCTTCCTTGGATCTGCTGATTTATAGTTTTAATCAAATTTGTAAACAACTATTCAAATATTTTTCAATTTCAGTTCCACTTAAATTATTCTGCTTGACATAATCACACAGCTTATTAATGCTTTGCTAATTTTTCAGTTGTTTTTCTCCATTTCATTATGGATAGTTTTCATTGCTTTGTCTTCAAGTTCACTAATCTTGTCTTCTGTTGTATCTAATCTGCTCTAAATTCCGTTAATGTATTTGTATATCAAACTTTGTATATTTTACCTTTAAAAGTTCAGTTGAGTCTCTTTTTTATTTTTATTTTTTTTGAGTTGGAGTCTCACTCTGTCACCCAGATTGGAGTGCAGTGGCCGCTCCTGGCCACCGCAGCATCAACCTGCTGGGCTCTGGTGATCCTTCCGCCTCAACCTTCCAAGTAGCTAGAACTACAGGCGCGTACTACCACGCCCCGCTAATTTTTGAATGTTATAGAGATGAGGTCTCGTCAAGTTGCCCAGGTGGGTCTCGAACCCGTGGACTCAGGCAATCCACTCACCTCGGCCTCCCAAAGTGCTGGGATTACAGGCTGAGCCACCGAGCCCGGCCCAGTTGAGTCTCTTATATCTTCCATGTTCTTCTTACACTCAAGCTTTCCTCCACTATCTTGAACACAGCAAGTATAACTATAACAGCTGCTATAATGTCCTTGTCTACTTATTCTGTCATCTGTCATTTCTTGGTCTGTTTCTCCTTACTGACTTTTTTTTCTCATTATGAGTTGGGTTTTCCATGTGTGCATTCTTAGAATGTTTGGTAATTTTATACTGTATGCTATACATTGTAATTTTTCCCTTGTTTATTCAATATCCTATATTTATTCTTGAGCTTTGTTATGGGACACAAGTTACTTGGAAACGATGAGATCCTTTACAGGCATGTATTTACACTTTGGAAGGCTGGCACAGAAGAGCCTTATTTTAACACTGAGACTAGTACCATTTGAGTATTCTGACACCCTATGAATTGCAGGGGAGTTCCACTTTGGCTGGCGGAACTCAGACTATTCCTGACCACTGTGAACTCCAAAAACGGCTTCCTTTTGTTCCTTCAGGTGATTTGTTCGATGGCCTTGGGTAGTGGTCACATGTAGTCGACGATACTCAGCTAAAAGAATCAAAGGCATTCTCTGTGCAGCTGTCACTGTTGGTACTCTGGTAGTTCTGTTTTCTGGTAGAACCCTGATACAAGTACCCCCCAGTACCAATCTCGTTGAGTCATCTGACAGTTTAACTTTTCAGGGATCCTGCCTTGATGTGGATATTTTCCAGTTCACCCCTTCAGCTTTCACAGGCCTCACACTGTTTGTTCTCACAGCATATGAGCACTTAGGATAACCAGATATGCTTACCTCTGGATATTTACTTTCTTATCTATGACACGGATCTCCCTTCTCTTCCCAGCAGTTTAGACAAGTATTTAAAAAATGTTTAAAATATTTAATCCAGAATTTTTAGTTCAATACTAGAAGATGTCTCTGGACATCTTGTCTTCCATGTAACCAGAAATAAAAATCACATTTAAAAACCTTGTAAATGTTTAAAATTTTTTTTAATATTTCAAATATTCCCAAGGTCTTCAAGCTACAAAAAGACTTAAAGAGTAGTGCATCTTTAAGAAAATTGATTTCCACATCTTTAAACTCCATCTATACTCCTTTCTAAAACTGATATGTCCAAGAATGGGTCTTCAGGTTCTCACTCATGCGTTGCTCACTGGTTCAAAAACTTGGGTGACAAATGGATAATTTAAAAATGAATATCTTCAGAGGAAGAGTTCCATGAGGGCAAAACAAAGGAAGTTGCTGTGCAAAATGCTAACGTAGCCAGTGCCACAGTGAATGAGTATTACCAGAGACTAAAAAAGTTGGAATGGGGTGGGAGGAATGAAAAGTTGATTAGTGGGTACACATATGTGGCTTGACAGAAGAAATAAGACCTAGTGATAGTTCAGTACGGTGGCTATCATTTTCAATAATTGTATATTTCAAGTATCTAGAGAATAATTCAAATGTTCCTAGCATAAAGAAAAGACAAATATTTAAGGTGATGGATATCCCAAGTACACTGATTTGATCTTTACAAATTATATGAATGTATTAAATTATCAAATGTACCCTGAAACTATGTACCTCTATTATCCATCAGATAAAAAAAGTGAAAAAAAAAGCAACCAGTGCCTTGTCTCACCCAGGACATAGATTCATAACAATGCTTCATTCCTTGTGTATCTATCTTAGAATTCAAAAGTGAGGTTATCATCACAGGAATATGTATTACATTTTAAAATCGAAGTTAACCTTTTTTGGGGGTAGGGGATAGGGTCTTGCTCTGTTGCCCAGGAGGAATGGGGTGAAGCCTGGGCTCAAGGGATCCTCCTGTCACAGCCTCCCAAGTAGGTAAGAATACGGGTGTAAGCCACCATTCCCAGCTGATTTTATTTTATTGGTAGAGACAGAATCTCACAATATTGCCCAGTTGTTCTCAGACTGTTGACCTCAAATGATCCTCCAGCCTTGGCCTCTCACAGGCATGGGCCACTGCGCCCAGCCTTAAAGTAAGCCCTTTTCCAACAGTACTGTCTTGGGTCACATAACGGCGTTTGATCAAGAATGAGCCACAGATTAGAGAGTGGTCTAGCAAGATCATAATGGAGCACACACAGAAGCCTGGTAGGTGGCAGTTGACGTTGGCACTGCAGGTCCAGTGGGGAAATGACTGACACTCAATGACGGTGCTGGGACATTTGGTTTTCCGTATGCAGAAAGCACATAAATAAAATTGCATACATCATCTAGGTTTCTGTAAGTACATTCTGATGTTTGTACAATGAGGAAATGAATGCATTTCTTACAATGCATCCCCATTGTGAAGTGATGCATAAGTCTGATTTGGCTCATTGGTTTTACAACAAGGACTAGTTTGTCCTTAAAATGACAAGGCAGACATCCTCCATAAATTATGACGAAAAATATACTTCCCCTTTCCGGACCTGGCCGAGGAGGAGGCGCCATCATGGGAGTCGACATCCGCCCCAACAGAGACCAAAATGTTCAGCACAAAGAGTCCAAGAGCCAGGACATTTACCCGAGGTTGTTGGTCCAGCTGTACAGACTTCTGGCCAGAAGAACCAACTCCACCTTCAACCAGGTTGTGCTGAAGAGGTTGTTTATGAGTCGCAGCAACCGGCCGCCTCTCTCCCTTTCCCGGATGATCCGGAAGATGAAGCTTCCTGGCTGGGCAAATAAGCCGGCAGTGGTCGGAGGGACCATAACGACATGCGGGTTCAGGAGGTGTCCAAACTGAAGGTATGCACACTGCATATGAGCAGCCGGGCCCGCAGCTGCATACTCAAGGCAGGGAGCAGAATCCTCACCTTCGACCAGCTGGCCCTGGACCTCCGCAAGGGCCACGTACCATCCTGCTCTCTGATCTTCGCAAGGGCCGGGAGGTATACGGGCATTTCCGCAAGGCCCCGGGAACCCCGCCCAGCCACACCAAACCTACGTCCACTCCGTGGACCAGCTGCGGCTACAAAAACTAACCCTGGATCCTATCCTCTTTTTATTAAAAAGATTTTGGATGGTAGAAAAAAAAAAAGGAAGAAAGAAAAAAAAAGAAAAGAAAAAGAAAAAAATATACTTAAAGCACATGTAATATAAAATATGCCAGAAATTACATCTTCCACTACCTAACATTTTTGGTTAAAAAATTCAGATGCCAAAATAAAGACATGTAAGGATGAGATATATAACTTAAAAAGTTGTTTTAGGGCTTATGCAAACAAGTTTGAAGACCAATTACATAAAATTTTTCTTTCTCTAATGCTCTGGTCTTTATTAAAAGTGCTTTTGCAGTTACTGTGTTAGTACTTTATCATTTTAGTAACAAATTTTGAGATCAATAGTTGTTGGTTTGTAAGAGTTTTCAAACCTATTTCACCTAGTTGCAAACTGTGACAAGAATAACCTGAGGAACTATTCAGTTACCGATTACAGTGGAACTTGAGTTGAAAACTAGTTTTGGTTTTAAAGAGCCCTTAATGATTGAATTTAACCTCATTTTAATGACATGCTTAAAGTGCTCATTTAGTATTATCTGCAGTGACCGAAACTGAACCCAACTGTGGCATATTCATACAATGAAATAGAATACAGCAATGAAAATGAATGCACTAAATCTACACACAATTTGTGGATGAGCCCCATAACTAATGTTAAGTAAGAATCCACACACAAGTGCATACTGTCTAATTCCATTTAAACAAAAAGTTCAAAAACAAGCAATATTAATCTAGGGTGATACAACTCAGAAGAATGGCTGTCTTTAGGGGTAATGACGGAGAGAGGGTAAGAGGGAGGCTCCCAGGTACCGCTGAGCCTCCACATCTTGCTGGGTTGTGGTTACACAGGTGTGTTTGCTACATAAAAATCTATCACACTATATCACTAGTGCACTTTGTGAATGTAGGGTGTGCCTCAATAAAAGGTTACTAAAAAATTAAAAAGGCCTTGTGCTTCTTGTTACCCGAATAAAACCATGGCAAATATTGTGTTATCCTCTATTTTCCCCATCTTCTATTGTTGCTGATGACATTGAGGGGAACACGTTGCCACTTAGAATATTATTTAGCCTTAGCCCGTGCAGCCAATGCAGCTTCTTCACGCCACTTCGCTTTCTTTGCCAGGTTCCAACTCGTTAAAGACTCATGTCGTTCCACAGCCTGCAAAGAAACAAAGCAAGGCATTGTGACTCTCTGCAACAATCTGTCTTTTAGATAGATATACACAAGGAAGACTTTTTAAAAGGGAAAGGGGAAAAGTAACTTGAAATATCTGCCACAAATAGATTCCAAGGACAATGGTCCTTTGGTATGGAAAAATATTACTTATGGTACTAGACATTCAGACAACAGGATGGCTGAGGCAAGAAATCTGCCCCATTCTCTTGCAGCACACATGGACATGTTTCTTAGATGAAATATAACAAAATTATTTTCAAATATTTAAGCCCAAAATCAAGAAAGAGAAATTCTCATGTGCTAGAAATGGAAGTAACTCAAGAAGGCATGGACTGGTGGGGGAATATTAAGAGACTGAGTCAAGGAAACGGTTTTGGTCAGGAGGCCTCTGGTGAAAACAATGGGCTTGACAGCCATGGGCTGGGAGTTTAATCCCTACAGGAGAGCTGAGTCCTGGATGTGGCTCTTGGGCATGGAGCGGAAGGCTGGAGGACCAGAAAAAGGAACTCTGCAAGGCTAAAAAGTCTCTATGCAGTTTATGTGGGCTTTGAATCCATTTGGATCAAAATATAAAACTGTAATATTTTCCAATTATTCTGCATGAATAAATTGCTGATGAACTTCAGGGATGGTGGGAATTACTGGACAAATTTCAACATAAGGTTTTGCATAGTTGGTGGATAAAACTAAAAATTAGCACCTCAATTTAGTAATCACAGCTAATGGCATACTTATTCTACTGGATCACTACGTAGCATATTCTTCAGTAATGACAACATTACAACTAAACATAAAATTTCAAAATTTTTAACCATAATATATCATTTCATTCAATTACACTGATATTATTTGAAAATATTCTTATATGAATCTTTTTTGTGAAGGTAAAAAAGATTCTATATTATCATAAGCATATTAATAAAATTTCAGGGAAAACGTTTTTTGTGCCATTTGCAAACAAAATACAATTTATTGCAAATTAAAACAGGGAAGGAAAAACAGTTTCGACAGATGCTGATAGATCAAGAAAAATGAAAACCATTGGGTATCACTGATGACTTTGATAAGAGCAGTTTGGGGCAGGGGACTGGGCAAAAACCTGATCAAACAGGACATGGGAGGAGAAAAGTGACTGCATAGACAGATCTGCTGAAAAGATCTGCCGTAACAAACAAGACCAGGAGGGGAAAATAAACCCTTTGTACACATAAGTCTACTGAAAGGTCTGCCGGAGAAAATAGCCCATGAGCACCACCAGGAGTTTTTTGTTGGAGGGTGTGTGTGTGTGTTTGTGTGTATGTGTGTGTGTGTATGAGTGTGTAGGTGAGAGAGAGAGAGAGAGAGAGAGAGAGAGAGAGAGAGAGAGAGAGAGAGAGTGTGTGTGTGTGTGTGTCAGTGATGAGAAATAGCAGATTTCTGTATTTTGACCAAGAAGATGCCACAGAAAAGAAGAACCTGATGGGAGAGACACCTGAGGCCTGGAGGAAGTCCCTGAGAAGCAGAAAGAGTGGACTCGTTGGCAGAGTTAGTGGGGGAAAGCTTCTGGCCTGGGGCAGAGGTCACTTACAGTAGGCAGGAGAGCGGAGCTCGCAGGACTATGTGTGGGGTGACCTCCATGAACTGCTTTGAAGTTTCTCAGTGAGGTGGAAGGAAAGGCCATCAGTGAGAGTTTGGTGGGCGTAAAGTCCGAGTAGACAAAGATGTGATAGAGGTGGGCTGGCCTACTTTCGTGTTTAAGAGGCATGGCCCGGCATGGTGTCTCAAGCCAGTAATCCCAGCACTTTGGGAGGCCGAGGTGGGAGGTCTGAACCCGTGCCTGAGCCCACAGGTTTGAGACAAGCCTGGGCAACTTGGAGAAACCTCTTCTCTACAATAAATCAAGAAATTTGCAGGGAGTGATAGTGCACACCTATAGTTTTGGCAACTTGGAAGGCTGAGGCAGAAGCATCCAGGGGTGGCTGTGAGCATGCCACTGTACTCCAGGCTAGGCGATGGAGTGAGACTCCAACTCAAAAAAAAAAGGCATGTACATTTATTTTTTGCAAACTCTGCCATTCTTCTTTTCAATAAAAGGTTGCTGTTCTTTTATTGAGTCAGCAGAGCTCCTTATAATGTAAAGAAATTAGCTCTTGGTTTGTAATATATTTTTCCTAGTTTATCATTTACATTTTGCTTTTTTATGGTATTTTTTTTGCCAAGCAGAATTTTAAATATCTTTTATGGTTAAATGTATGTTTTCTGTATAGCTTCTGAGTTTTGTTTCTTACTTAGAAATATCTACCAAGCTACAAAAAAAGAATTCCCTCATATTTTCTTCTAGTACTCTTATCGCTTCAGACTTAATGCAAAAATCTCATATCCAATTGAAATTTTGATGTAAGAAATATGGTTGGAATATTCCAATATCATTTATCTTTCTCCATTCATATACAAAGCTACTCTATCATATATTAAATTCCACATAATGGGGTTGTTAATGTGATTTTTAATCAGTTTTATTAAGTTGTCTGTCTATTCATATAGACAGTTTTAATTGTTTTGTTCTGTTTTAGTATTTTTTAGAGTGAGGCCTCTCTTAGTACTACATATTTTTAGTAGTTTCTTATATATCTTGTTTACTTTTTCTGTATAAACTTTGACTCAGTTTGCCTACTTCCGAAACAAATCCTATTGCCATTTTTATTGTAATGAAGTCAATTTTCTAGATTTAGAGAAGACTACCCTCTTTAAGCTGCTGCGTCTTCCTATCTAAGATCATGTAATTTCTTGGGTCAGACCTTCTCTTGTGATCACAGGTAGTGTTTAGAAGTTGCCTTCATAGAGATGTTGCATCATTTTAAAGCCTATTCTTGAGTTTTACCTTTTTTTTTGCCATTGCTATTTTTTTTTTTTTTT